AGAGAGCGAGAGCAAGAGAGAGAGAGAGAGAGAGAGAGAGAGAATGATGTTTGATCATGTACTTAAGAAAGGAAATTCAAAGCAGGAAAGGCAGTCAGGGTCAGGGGTTCAGGTAGAAGTTGGCCTAGTTGGGGCCATGCTGCATGTGGGAGTGGTAAAAGGCTTGGGGGCGGGGGAAGAGCACTTGCCATCCTCCTACCTCCTCACCGGAAGCCTAGTTACAGACTTATTTGCCATGTGGGAGTCAGTTTTTAACTGACACAGCTACCCATGCCAGTCCTGTTGTCAAAGGGTGAAGGAAGTACCAAGGGACCACTGAAGATTTCATATGAGATACTAGAATACCAAATCCTTTCCCTGCTGAGTCATACACACGTAATTATAACAATAATAATAACAGCTGGTACTTATATGGCATTTTAAGGGTCTGAAAAGTGCTTTAATATGTTGTCATTTGATTCTCAAAACAGCCCTGTAAGGTGGTCCTATCATCATCACCATCATCACCATCATCATCATCATCTCACAGACAAGAAAACTGAGGCATAAGTTTAAGTGATTTGACCAAGGATATACACCTATTATGTATCTGAGGAAGGATTTGAATTCTAGGCTTCTTGACTCCAGGCCCAGAGCTCTATCCTCTGTATCACCTAGCTGCCTCTGGCCCCATATGGTTGTCCATAAGCAGGCAGGGAATCTCTGTGAATATTCTGTGAAACCCCTGTTACTTGGGAACAGAGCAGGAGATGGGATGTTGTGAATAGGGAACAGCAAGTTGGCCAGTCTGGCTAACATGTAGCATGTCAGGGAGAGTAAAAGTATATTCAAGGGCAACTAGGTGGTTCAGTGAATAGAGCACCAGACCTGGAGTCAGGAAGACAGTTCAAATCCAGCCTCAGATACGTACTAGCTGTGTGACCCTGGTCAAATCACTTCACCCTGGTTGCCTCAGTTTCCTTATCTGTCAGCTGAGCTGGAGAAGGAAATAGCAAACCACTCTAGGATCTTTGCCAAGACAACCCCAAATGGTATCATGAAGAGTTGCACGTGATTGAAAGTGACTCAGATGTAATCAGCTTGGAAGGATAGGTTGGACCTAGGCTGTCATAGATAGGGCTATAGTGACGAAGAGGCAGTTTTCATTTCCTCTTAAACACAATGGTGACCCCCTGAAGCTTCTTGAGCATGGGTGCCACATTCTATTTCTAACCCTGAAAGGAAAGAAAGATGAATGAGACATGGTCCTCATCCTCAAATAGCTTATAATTCGGCAGGACTTCCTCCTCCCCAGGAAATGTATGTGCTAGCCTCTCTGGATAGGAAAAACCAGGAACCTCCTTTAGTAATGGTCGGCCCCTGGAAGTGGAAGGGCTAGGAGGGACATGAGAATATTGTTTCCAGGTGAAATGTATGGAACTTTACACAGTAGCTCAATGTAAACATGGTGGCCTTTGAAACCTTTGAACAGCCAGATTAAAGAAATAGGCACACACAACATGGCTGACCAAGGGCATATACTTTGTTTTTTGGCCAGGCAATGGGGTTAAGTGACTTGCCCAGGGTCACACCGCTGCTAAGCATTATGTGTCTGAGGTCACATTTGAGCTCAGGTCCTCCTGAATCCAGGGCTGGCGCTCTATCCACTGTGCCACCTAGCTGCCCCTCCAAGGGCATATACTTTTAAGGCCAAGAAGGCCTGCTTGGAATTTCTGTGTATTTCTTTGAATATGCTTAGTGTTGCTGTAAATGTGAGCTGAGAGCAGGGACTGGGTTTTGCCTTTAAAAAATTTTTTTAAAATATTCCCACCACTTAGCATAGTGCTTGGCACACAGTAGGTGGTTCATTAATGTTTGTGGACTTGACCTGGCTGGGGAGGTAGGAGAAATAATGACCTTTCACCCAACTTGGCGGTTCTCTGGATGCTCCTTCTCCACCAGACCTCCATCCTTACTCATCAACACAGAACAGAAGGGGTTTGGAGTTGAAAACAAAACAAAGCAAAACCCAGGGAACTCCAAACCCCAGTGCATTTACTTATCTGTGCTTCCTCCTCTAGAAAAAGGTTCCTTTCAGTTCTAAACTTATGACTCTGTGATGTATTCTCCCAGGGAAATGCAAGTTCGGTAAGGACAGGAATTAATTGGTTTTTGTTTCTGCAGCCCTGTATGCATGGTAGACACTTAGTAAATGTGTGTTATATTGTTCATTGAGCTGAGGTTTTAAAAACAGGCCTCTCAGTTCTTCAGGACTCTGTGTGTGTGTGTGTGTGTGTGTGTGTGTGTGTGTGTGTGTGTGTGTGGAGTGCCCTTATCTGAATTCCCAGGCCCATAAAACCCAGGGGACCATATGAGGATTCCAATACTGAGGTCTTAAGTGCCATGCACACTGTTTTTACTGATCTCTTAGGAAAGTCACAATGTAGGGCAGTTGGTCATGTCTGTTTCCTTTTTGCCTCAAGTAGTTTCATTTCTGTTGAGGAATCACTGTTCACTTCCCATTTATCCCAAGGTAGAGAGAACTGAGGAGCGGCCCTCTTCAGCCCTGTCATCCTGGCCCCTCCTTCCTTCCTATTAAGAACCAGGTCCTTAGCTGGATGCTCTTCCTGGGCTTGAGATCACCATCCTATTGGACGTTCCAGCTGGAAGTGACCTTTATTTTGTAGTGGGAGAAAGCCAGGCCCCCAAAGGGGAAATGACTCACCCCAGGTCACACAGTGACAGTTACTGAACAAGAGCAGGAATCTCCAGACTCCACGTCCAGGGCTCTTTCCAAATACCATGATAACCCATGATAGAGAGAAATGTTGATTCATTTCAGAAGACAGGCACTGGACTTGTGATTTCATTGGAATTTATAGTGAGGGAACTCCCTCCATCAATGAAAGCCAGAACCTTCTGGGCAATCTCTAAATTTAGAGAGCTGACTGCAACCATTAGAGATTAAGTGACTTGCCCAGGGTGACACAGCCTGTGTTAGAATCTGGACTTGCACCCAGGTCTTTGTGACTCCACGGCATTGTGGGACTCTCTGTGCATTGTGTCACGAAGAACCAAGCCAAAACCAAATTGTCTTTGATGAGGGAAAGTGTCAGAATGTCCATGCTTAGCTTTGTTGGGAAGCACGGATGGATTTTAGCATTTCATTCATTTCAGGCCATTTCAATCCAATTCAGAAATAGCATTTATTAGGCACCACAAGCAACAAATGAATAAAAATATATTAAGCATTACTATGTACCAGGCACTGTGCTAAGCACTAAGAATACAAAGAAAGGCCAAAACACAGGAGTTCACATTCTAAGGGAGGAGAGAGCAGGCAAGCAACTGCACAAAGATGGATCAATCCACCCAATGTTTGCGCATATTTACTGAGCTATACCTATATCTCTATTGAGATAGATCCGTCCATATCTATCTAGACATAGATATCATATCTATCTAGGTACATATCTATATCTATCAAGATATCTCTAGATATCTAATTATATCCCTATCTTGTAAACAATGTACAATCCAGCTATCTCCGTCTACAGATTGCATATCTATCTATAGATATGTAAAGCTATCTACATCTGCAGATTGTATCTCTATAGATGCGTCTGTACAGATTCATAGAGAGAGATAGAGAGATCTCGTTTATCCTCAGTAGCTCGTTGTCCATGCCAGGTTAAAGGGGTGAATTCAGTCTCAGAGGAGGCAGATGGAAGGGGGTAACGAGCTGGGTGCTGAAGGGGGACGCTAGGGAGTCCAGCACACCTGGATGAGACTGGGGAGCATCCCAAGCACGGGGTGCGGCGGGCAGGACAAAGGCACGGATGGCCCTGGGCCGTCCAGGATCTCACTGGGGACCCCAGTGGCTGCCCCCAGGGGCCTTCCACTCACTCTTCTAGGGGACAGACGACCAGACGTGGACTGTCCTGGAGGGTGGGCGGTTCTTAGGCTGAGCCTCGAAGGACCGGGGGGTTGGGGGGGAGAAGGAGAGGAACGTGAGGAAGGGGGCAGTTGGGGTAGCTCGTCCCCGGATCGTGGGGGGCTTTACAGGCCAGCAGAGGAACATGGATTTGATCCCAGAGGTAGTAGGGAGCCACTGGAGTTTATTGAGCAGAAGAGTGACGCGGCCCTCCCAAGCAAAGGGCACCCACCCCCACCTCCCCATTCAACTAGGGGGACAACGTCCCCCTAGGGAGGAGGGAGGGAGGAGAAGGAAGGGAGGGAGGCGCGCAGGCCCGGGCGGGGCCGGGCAGGGAGGGGGGAAGGGCAGGGCTGCGCAGAGAGGGAGAGGGCGGGGCCTCGAGAGGCAGTGAATCAGCATTCCGACTGGGTGACGCATGGCACGCCGCGCCCTCCCTCCCCCACTCCCCCACGGCTGCGAGTACAACCCCGGGGAGAGGGGCGCGCCCAAGGTGCCCCCCCTACCCCCGCCCCCTGTGGCTCAGGCTCTCTCCCCCAAGTCCCTCCCTCCTTCTTGTAAGTCCCCTGCTGCGAACAGCTCCGCTCTACCCGGCCTCTCCCCTCTTTCAAAGACCGAGGGATTTCCGCGCAAAGCCTCCTGGGAGGTGTAGTCTTCCTCACACCAGCCCAGACGTTGCCAGGGGCACTCGCTCCCGGTGAAGAGAACTACACGTTCCAGGAGTCCTCGCGACGAGGCGGAGACGGGGGAGGACGAGGAGAGGGCCAAGGAAGAAGGGGGAAGGGAGGCGCGGGGCGGGGCCTCGAGCTGACGTCAAGGCCGTGGGCGTGGCCCGAGGGGGTTGTTCTCCCGCGGCACGCGCAGCAGCCGCAGCCGCCTCGCGCCGGGTTCCTCCTTTGCAGCACGAGCCTCAGCGGCAGCAGCAGCAGGAGCAGCAGCAGCAGCAGCAGCAGCAGCAGGAGCCGGAGCCCGAGCAGCCTCTGCCGTCCCGCGGACGTGATTGGTCGGCCCGCCGCCCGGGCTCGAGCCGCCGCCGCCGCCTTCGCCGCGCGCGCCCTCCCCGCCGCCGCCGCCCTCAGCCCCGCAGCCCCGCAGGAGCCGGCCCGAGCCGCCCCGCGAAGATGGTGGACCGCGAACAACTGGTGCAGAAAGCCCGGCTGGCCGAGCAGGCGGAGCGCTACGACGACATGGCCGCGGCCATGAAGAACGTGAGTGCCCCCTCCCGCTGTCGCGACAGTGCCAGGGCGGCCCGAGAGCCATGTCGCGACAGGGCCCCGGGCCTCATCTCGCGATAGAGCGGATGGCTGACGTGAGGCCTCCATCCCCACCCCTTACCCTGCTGGGCTGCCAGATTGGGGGGGGGGGGTCGCCCTTTGTGCCCTCCCTGCAGTGTTGGGGGCATTCGGAGTGGGTGGGGTGGGGCGGGGGAGGGGGGGCCGCGTCCATGCGGTCGCTCTCGGAGGTTCCTCTTTCTCTGTCTGTCTGGGCGGCGCCTCTCCCATTCACTCGCCAGCCGCCTGCTTTCTCCTTTCTGTTCCCTCCACCACTCCCTCCCCCTCCCCCCCCGAGAGGAATTCAGGATGGGGGGGTCGGGGTGGGGGGCAGAAGAACCCCTGGGTCGGTTGTTAAAAAAAAAAAATCCCAATCATTCCGAGATCGCCGTGCGTGGCTCTTATTTGCTCAGTTTCTTCTTTAAAAATGCCCCCACCTTCTTCCCCTCCCTCCTTCCTGCCTTCGGGGAGGAGGGGTGGGGGCTGGGGGGCATTTTACCATTTTCTCATTTTCTTCTCATTGTCTCGAGCGTATCTCTTTTTTTTTTCTCAGCCTTGTCAATTGAAACATGCCTTATTTCCCCTTAAAATAAAGGTTATGCATCAAGTGAAGTGGTTCGATTTGTGACATTTGCTGTTTCTTTTTTAAATGCAGGCATACATCTATTGAAATCCCAATAAGTTAAAAAAAAATTCATCTCTGATCTGATCTTGCAAACAAAGCGATCGTGGGAGGCAGTATCAAGTCATTCCAGAAGATTCTGCATTTGTCATATTGCAGAGAGGCTAGACTGGGTGGAGGGAGGGAGGGGTTGCTTTAAAGGGGGGAATGTTTTTTATTTGTTTCGTGAGACAGGTCTGGGCTCTTTTTTTCACCCTTTAATAAATAAAAGGCTGAAGTGTCCCCTCCTGCTGATGAAAAGGGAATGCTGATTTTGAAATGTCGCAGCCTGTCTGGTGCACAGATGCCTGCCTATATTGCAGCATTTTTTCAGTCACCTTACATTTATCAGAGGGGGAACATGTCAGCATGTTCAAGGATGGGGGAGGGAGGCAGGTTTGGAACGGGACCAAAGGAACCTGGAAATGGCATGATCTGATGGATGACTAGGGTGCCTCAGTTATCCTAATATCTGATAGGCTCTCTTCAGGTATCCTTGACAAATAGATAACAAATGTATACAGTTATATAACAGAGGTATTAAAAATACACCAGTTTAAAACTGGATGACTGAATAAACCAAGTATATAGGATAAGCCCTCCTTAATTGGACGACCTCACCTCTTCTCATGATTTCAGTCACACCTGTGTAAGTTGAACTGGATCATTAAAGTAGGCCATGCTGAAACCTTTTATGTTTAGACGTTTAAAAAGAGTATTATGAGGGAAGGAGCTCCCTGCTAGAATTATGTTACAATTGGGGATGGATGCTCTATCTAGCCTGTATTTCAACATAACATTGGTACCATTGATGGTTTTTAACCTTTCATTCAAATCTGTTTCTTCTTTTGTGGTATATTAGCCCGAGCATTTTAACAGGCGTTAATCTTAAATGGATTTGTCTTGTCTGCTCTGTCTTTACGAACCTTCTAACTCTTCCTCATTTGCAGTTTTGCAGGAAAGCTTATGACCTCGCACTCATTGCCTTAGCAACACGGTGATGTCACACATAATGGCACCGAGGCTGCAATGCGCCCAGGTGGTAGGGAGTGTTCGAATGGCCCATGGCCAAGGTAATGCAGAAATGTGATAATACAGGAGCCGAGGGGGACTGAAAATTTTATTGTATCTACCCCGATGGAGAAAATGAAATTTGTGACAGGGTGAAGGGTCGTTCTGCTGTCCGGAATATTTTTACAGTGTCATGGTGCTTTTAGACATACTAATCAGTGACCTCCAGATGTACGTTGGGGCTGATCATCTTTGTTTTTTATATCGCATCTCGCCATTCTGTAGGATGACACACAGTGGAACACAAAGAGCAGTTGATAAGCAGCTAATATTTAAATTTCATGACATGCTTACAGTACACATAGAATCAGCTTTAAATGAAAACTTAAATTTCTCCTACAAATGAATTTCTCTTTAAATAAGCTTTGAAAAAAGGATGGATTTATTACCTGTACCTTGTGGTACTAATAGAACTCATTAATCAAATCATAGGATTTGGGCTTGAATTAAGGGGAGTGTTTTTATGAAAAGTATTCACATGGTATATAGTAGATTCAGCAGCAGCCTAGAAAGAGCCTTAGCAGGACCAGGGTTCAAATCTCACCTCCTTAGAGGTGAGTGGCAGCTTGATGGCTCAATGGATAGAGAGCCAGGCCTAGAGTCAGGAAGTCCCGAGTTCAAATTCTGCCTTAGACACATATAGTGACTGTGTAACCTTACCTTTAGCAAACAGGGGGGACTTGTCAGCATGCTTATAGATGGGGAAGGGAAGCATAGAACAGACCCAAAGGAAACCTGGAAATGGCATGATTGCCTGGGCAAGTTAACCTCTTGCCTCAGTTTCCTTATCTGTAAAATGGGGATAATAATGACACCTACCTCCCAGGGTTGTTACAAAGATCAAATTGGTAGCACATTGCTTGGCATGCGAAGCACTCTACAAATGTTAGCAATTATTTTGGGCGAGTTACCCAACCTTTCTCTCTGAGCCCCATGGTAGTACTGGCTATTCTCACTAACTGTCACGGTTGGGTATCATTCTACCTCAGACATAATTCAGTTTTCTTGCCCCCAGTTTTTAGGTACTTAAAGCAATAGTGGTTGTATATGGGTGTCTCGAATGAAAATGATGAAATATCTCAGGATGATATGAATTGATATGTCTTTTTCCTGAACTGTTCCTGTAGAATTTAAGTGGATGTCGCTTTTTTTTTTTTGAGAGCACCTTGCTATTTCTCATGTTCTAGACAATACCATTTTTGTACTTTGGTTTTGTAATAGCCTGCTAAGAAGTTAATATTTCTAAGTAGGCTACTGGTACTTGCAACTGCCTTGGGAAAGAAAAGGAGCCTCTCTACGAGTGACAATTAAAACCTCTGTGTTAACCCCTTATATTTCACAAGGGATTTGGAGATTTCCTTAATTTTAAAGAAATTACCTCCCCAGTACAATTGGTAATTAGGATTCTTTACATTATATCTTAAATTTGCTTTTTTTTTTTTTTTTTAACTGATGTGTATTCCAAGATGGCTAGATCAATAGCCATTATCACTAATGGAGTAATAATACCTCTGCAGACTTTTCAGAGGTGGCTGTCTGCCAACCCTTATTTCAAGTGATGGAAATTCTTCCCTCATGGGCCTATGGAGGTCCATCATTGATGGATCTTCTCTGTATACCCCTTGGAAAGAGAGCTAGCATGGGGTAGCAGGCTTGGAAAGCTGCACTTAGCACAGTGCCTGGAACTTAGTAGGTGCTTAATAAATGTCGATTGATTGAATTACTAATTGATTAATTGAACCATGACTACAAATCACTTTAATTTCTCTGGACCTCATTAAGAAAAAAACCTGTACCTACCTCAAAGGTGGGTTGATTGTGAGGGTCAAGTGATATGAGGTGTATATGAGGCTCTGTCTATAAGTGTCAGTCACTATAAGGTCACTCTCTCCTTGATAATCTAAGACCTTACTCGACTGATCTCCTTTAAACATTAAGTTAGAGAATCAGGGGCAGAAAGAACCTCTGCTTAAATGTAAAACTTCATGAAGCTAGCCTAGAGAACACCTCTAGAGTTGACCCTAGAATTGTAGTGATATTTCAGCCTTAGTATCTTTGATACACCACAATGGCCCAGTGGATAGAATGGTGGACCTAGAGTCAGGAGGACCTGAGTTCAAATTCACCCTCAAACCATTACTAGCTCTGTGACCATGGGCAAGTCATGTAACCTGTTTGCCTCAGTTTCCTCATCTGTAAAATGGGGTTAATGATAACACCACCTACCTACCAAGAATGTTGTGAGGATCAAAAGAGAAGATATTTGTGAAGTGCTTTGTAATTCTTAAAGTGCTCTATAAATGTTAGCTATTATACTTTAGAAATAGTTCCAAATAAGTCAGATTCTGGACTCATGTAAAAGGATAAAAGTTTTTAGCTTTCTACCCTACTTAGAATACATCCAGTAGGGTGACAGATGTCCCTATCATTGCCCAGAGAGGAAATGTACTAAATAAAATCTTACAGCAAATAAGGAACGTATTGGTGATCATAAGCACTGAGCCAGGTGGAAGTGTATACCCTGACTCTGCTTGGTTTGGCATTCCAGATCAATCAAACCTTTATTAAATACCTACTGTGTGCCAGGTACTGTGCCAAGTGCCAGATTTCTATTTAAAAGATGCCGGCCAGCATCCAAAAATCACACGATGCTCACCCAGAAGAGTTCTCTGGACATTGACTCCAAGCCTAGGTGTACTGTCCCACTAAGTAATGGTTTGCGGAAGAGAGAGGGGCCTTCTCAAATGTATTTAAAATGTATTTATTCTTCCTCCCCCTCTCTCTAATGAAGTGATTCTTTCCCAGCTCTATTTGAATGTACCTTAATGGAGGCTGTACTACTTGGTGATGTGGGGATCCATGAAAGAATAGTGCTTTGGGTTTCCATCAGCTTGGGGTTTTTTTTCTCCAGGAACAGATAATTAATGTCATTTAGCAGCCTTGTGATGAAAAGTACAAATATCTCACCTCACTAGTGATTCTTACCCTCCTCCCGTCCCCCTTGTTTTCTCCATAGGGCAGGCCAGGATGACCATCCTATTTTTCTGCTTGTACCTCTGAAGTGTGGAAATAAAATACACATGGTTGATGCAGGTCACTGTCTCTTCTGTAACTTACAGTCTTAAAGAATTGCCTGGAGGGGCAGCTAGGTGGCGCAATGGGTAGAGCACCAGTCCTGGAGTCAGAAGGACCTGAGTTCAAATCT